CGATACGTAGAAGTAGGGCGCGCTATATATTGAGATAAGAAAAAGACAGTGAGACTATACTTTAATCCTTACGAGCCTGTTTCGTGATTACTCACATGATTTTATAAATCCCCTGTTGAGTGAGTAATCCCGAAACAGGCTTCTAGGGATACAAGTATAGTTTCTTTGTTTTTTTCTTAGCTACTCACTCATCAGAGGATTTAATTGTATGATGAACAATGTTTTCAAATTTCCTAATCAGTACAATTGTAGAAAAACTGTTGCTACAAGCAAATCATTTGGAGTTAATACAGTAAAATTCCATACCCCAGTATACCAAGGGTTCAGATAAAACCTCCCTGCCCCTACCCCCCTGGAATTTCCATTTATCAACCATGGGAGTCACTTGAGTATGGATATTTCTTTAAAGAGCACATTTACTCAAAACTGGTGAAAGTTAAATTTTATATCTAGACACCAATCAATACCTGCTTACAACTAAACATTCAGTTCTCGCATATGAGGAAACTTTAATGAAGAAAATCAGTAACAGCATAACAAAATGAGGTATTGGTGGATAAATTTAAATGCTTGATGCTACAATGTATATAAATAACAACGATCTAAAGGACAAAAGTTGCTCGCTAGTAATCTCAAAAGTAACACACACAATAATGAAGGGTTCAACTTGAACCCTCTTCACTTTTAGGAAAAAAAGTAAAAATCATCTGTGAAATTTTGCCCATGGAGGGGTTCTCTTCCTCATTTGAAGAGCACATGGCACTCAAATGTAATACGAGCCTTTGTCTACAGATCTACCAAGTGACGTGTAAATATAAAAGGGATTTTTTTTAAAGGCTCCATTCCTACCTTGCCAATCTTTCAGAAACATTTTCAAAAGTCTCTCTTCACTTTCCTGTGTGACTTTTCTACTGATACGTTATGGAACCTCCTTCTTAAATCTTAAAGCCCACTTTTTACAATACAAAAAGAACAACAGCACACTGAATTGTACCCATAACAGTTTTTTTATAGAATTACATTTACTTGCAAGTTCATGAAATGGATCTGAATAGGAAAAAAGAAAGAGAAAGTAGATTAATAAATGAAAACATGTCTATAACAGCAAATGTTATATCCAGCTGTATGACGTATTTGTGCTATTCTTCAGTACTGTTTTGTTTCTTTAAGGCTTTAGTGCATTGCAAGAATAACTTATCCATACCTTGGTCTCATTGGTTGCACCAATATATCATCCTGTTTATGAATGAATTGAAAATATATTTCAATTAATACCTAAACTTTTGGAAGCTTTTGATACGAATAAATACTTCACTGGTTTTGAAGTTGGTGAGCCCCATCACTTACCTATAGAATTTGTGGAATTGCATTTGTGTCAGTCAACCATTCCTGCGAAACAAAGGAGAGTTAACTTTCGGAACTTTCTGCTAAGAGTCATGCGTTGCTCTATTCTTGTCACTTTCCAGTCAGTGGTATCATAACATACACATGCATGTGCTTTTCCTATTATTATTATCTCGTGTGTGTCGTTGGACTGTCTTTAAGATACATCTTTGTTCGAGGCCTCGTGTTGGCGATTAAGCCTCCACGAAAATCGTTGTCGCCTCCCTTCCAGCATGAATGTTGGACTCTTCTTTACAGATTTATTGTGTCTGTGATGGGTCAGATTAGTCAATAGTAGTAAACAGCATGTGTGCTTTTTTTTCCTTACCATTTGATGTATATGCTGTCGAATTTTCTTAGTCTCCATCATGACTTGCAAAATTATGTTATTGCTCCTAAAATTATGAAAAAAATAGCAAGAAAGTTAATTTTTGGAAAGTAATTTTTGAACTAACAAATGTTATTTGTATTTTTTTACGGTGTATTTGTGCCTTCTTCCAGTCCATATATACAGATTCGTCTTTCTGGTGTTTTATTTTGTCATACAGCTTGAATAAGTTGTAGAAATAACTTACCCAGACCTTGGGCTCAATGCATACTCGACTGCACCATCCTGTTAAAGGAAGAATTTGAAAAAGAATTCTATTAACACGCCTCCTTTTTGTAGTGGTGGAACTTCTACAGAGTAATTTTAAAATGTCTTATATGCTCAGTTATATATTTTTTTTCTGAAGAATTTCAATTGTATTTGGGAATCTGATTGTCTGAAAAATTTGCATGAACTTTTGGGACCACTCACATAACGAAATAAAGCTAGAGAATATCTTTGTAATATTAATCTGGCGTGATGCAAACTTTTTAGCATTATCTTAACAACGGCAAAAATTGAATCAATGAATCTCCTTATTCTGACGGCATGTCGTAGTTTCAAATGAAGTGTATTTTGAAAACAGTGTTGGCAATCTTTGCAGTTTTATAAAGCGTAAAACCCCTAGGTTAACCAGTTTTAATGCTTTACCGACTGATGAGGCGAAATGATGTGGAAGCACACTTCATTGGTTTTAAATTTGATGAGGACATAACTTGCCTGTACTTGGGAGAGACTTTGTGCTATTGCATTTGTCGCAGTCAACCATGCCTGCAAAATAAAAGAGAAGTGAGGATAGTAATATTCCCCATAAAAACCATGCGCCACTCCGTTGTTGACATGTTCCTATCAGTGGTATCATAC